CAGAAACAGGAAGATCGCTGGTATTTCCCGCGAAATTTTGAAGTGGGTTTCGGAGATATCAGAGGAGATGTTAACTTTCATGGAGGTAAAACCATGTCTGAACCTCCAAGCTTCGAGCAAGCTCTTCATGGTACATCCATCAATGCTCCAAACAACCAACATACTTACAAAAACAAGAGCAGTAAGAACACCGAACCGCCATTGATGCAAAGGATTTGACCTAAAAAACGCCCAGTACTTCGGCGAGGGAGCCGAACTCAAGCCTTTCTCCGGCATCTGTCACCATTAACAATAACCACGACAAGAACAGTAAACGAAACTAGAAGAAAAACACAGATTTCAAACACGAACAGGAGAACAACAATTAAATAAAATAATAGAGGGAGATGGAAGTGTTTTCACGCAGAAGAAAACAATTTGACGACAATGCGAATTCCAATTGGCTTTCGTTCAAAGCAAAAAGCTTCGATTATTTTCCCCAACAATAAACGAAAATATTAATAATATAGTTGTTATTTAATAAAGTAATTAAATAAGAGAAAACTACTTACTGGGTATACACTTTAATGGCGGAGAATATTCAATTTTTTTCTCTCCCTTTATCTCCACCCTTGGAATTTTTCAAGATGAATGAATGCGAGAGGATGTATTTTTTCTAACTTGAGAGAACAGAACTTTCAATACTCCAGCCTCGTTGAATTGAAAGCGAGATTAATGGAGGAAATCACCGGATAAATCTTAATGAAGTTCTGGGAGAAAAAAATATAGAAAAAAAAAAAAAAAAAAAGGAAGAAAGAGAATCCTAGAGTTCTAATAGGAGTTGTTATAGCGGAAAAGAGCTGGAAAGCAGGAAGAAGACAACTTTCTGCATTGACGGAAATACCCTTATACTTTCCCAAAAATTCCAAGGTTGTCGACACGAGCCACCGAAATCACGGTTACGACTCCGAGCAGCACCGACATGCGACGACGCAGTGAATCGCGTCGGTGAAGGTGGCGAAGGGTATTAACGTAATTTCATGCATTGAAATAATTAATCTATCGTGACAGCACCGTGCACGGTGGATTGGAGACAACAGTCCTCGTGTTTACATGTTATGCGTCGATGGCCGAATTGTGGACCCCACGCCTCTCTCCACTGATGATCGGAGCCAGTAACTTTACCATTTCGAGTCGAATTAGTTTGAATTTATGAAATATATATATATATATATATATATATGTTTTTCTTTTTTTATTGGTCCAATAAAATTGACGTTCACTTTTTCCTTGAGAAAATATCTTTTAATGGTTGACGTTGATTCGAGTGGGCAGTGAGAGGCCGTTATTTTGCTAGCCTCACCGCCGGTTTCGCTATCTCCAATCAATGACTGAAATCAAAATTCAAAAGCTACAAAAGCGCAACCTTGGTAACATTTTATTTCCGGCACGGTTTGTTTCCAAGAGGGTCGGGTCGGGTCATTGACCATAAGGAAACGACGTCGTTTCGCCAGCGGACATGAAAAGGACCTGGATTGGATGTGTCTGATCAAAATCTGAATGGGACATTTAATGGGTTCTTTGGGTTTCATGTGCACAACAACTGAGTTTTAACGTTCAATGGATGACTAATTAATAAATAAATAAATAAACAAATGTGAGAAGAGAGAGTGGAATTGGTGGAGCATAATGCTCCATTTATTTTTGGTTATAAATGAGAGAGTGAGAGAGAGAGAGAGAGATGACCGCTACAATTTTCTCTTTAAAAAAAAAAAAAAAATTTGATTATTCAATGATTTTTTTTTTTTAGTAAAATAAAATACTTACCATCTTAACTTACTAATAATATTAATTACTTACTTAATCAGAACTCTTTTATTATTTAAACATAATTAGAACTCTAGATTTAGTTTATTTATGGTGAGTTTTAGATTGGTACGAAAACATCCCTACTCCCAAAGCGTGCGTGTAAGTCACACTTGGGTCCTACCATTCATGGGTCTGATCATTTAGGAAATTGTCATCTATCCAACGGATTTATAACTCAATCTTAAGGTACTTCTCTGTTTTTGTTAGACTTATAAATTGATTTAACTAGAAAATATGACAAACCAAACAGCAGCTTATGCTACAGGATCCAGAGAGTAAAAGGATCATTAGAGAAAATAATAAGAAAAAAATTTAAAAAAAAACAAAAACAAAAACAAAACAAAACAATCTGTGCAGCTCTATCAATAATCACAAGCTTCATTTTAAAAGAAATACATATAGAGAGACTCTAGATGTCTAACCATATCGAATACGATAGAGAGCTAAAACGAATTATATGAATAGTTACGAGGAAAAAAAAAAAAAAAAGGCAAATCAAGATAAGAACAAATAAGATTTGTATTAGTTCCACGGATCATCCCAGCCCTTTGGTCCCTCTCTTTTGACAAAGTCTATAACGCTCTGCACAGCTTCATTAACTCTGTTGGAGAGGGAGTGATTCCCATATTCAACTTCTACTTTCTCTGCACCACCCATTGCTCTGCACAATCTGCATCAGATGATAACCAACGCCGTCATTTAATCTAATTATATCAACCAACCCGCTTCCAAATCCTTCCTTCAAGCCTTCTAATCTTAAAACCAATTTGTAAAGTTCTTTTTCTCTTCTAAAAGTTACTCTATCAACCTTAAAGGCAAACATTTATAGAGAGGATATTCTGTTTCCCTTAAAATGTAGTAGCTTACAAATTCTTTAACAGTATATATAAGCTCATATAGTTTTACTATAAATAAGCTCTTGAAGTATTTAGGCAAAATACAAATCTATAAGTTGTATTATTTTATTTACTTAAATAGCAAATATATAATTTATAAGCTATCAATTTTGTTAAAATGACAAAAGATGAAACCCTTAAGAATATTCATTAAGGATAAGGGATAATATTTTTAAGATTATTAAGGTCCTTTTAGACTTTTACTTAGTTCGCTTCAAAGAAAACTACCCCCAACAGCTTTTTTTCAAAAATTTTATTACAAGAACTTATAACTTATCGTGCTTGTAACTTTTCACTATTTAAAAGAAAGGTTAAAGTGCTTATAAGCTCATGTTAAGAAAATAATATAGTCAGCCAGACAACTTCTAAAGCTGTGTTCATTGACTTAGAAAATACTTAAGATCTTACCTGTCAACTAGCGCTTTCTTATCAACGTAGTCTGGAACATATTCATCAGCCATGGAAAAAATAACCTGCTTGGAACACATGAGAACCTTATTCATAGTTGACAAGGCTGAAGCAGGATCTTTCAAGCATAAAGCAAATGAAATGCAATAGTGATGTCTGGAGCAGCAATACTACAATAGCTATTGGTTGCTTGCTTTGAAAGTAATGTTCCTGCCCCTCCCCGCCCCCACCCTCTTCTTTTTCTTATTTAGTAACTATACCTCCACAACAAATAGAAAAATCAGAAAACAGAAACTGCTTTCACCTAAACAGGAACAAATCATCTTCCCTAGATTAGACAATTTCTAGATGGAACTTCTCATCGTATAAAATGATTGACATTTTGCAAAACAAATAAGAAAATTGGATAAGGGCATATTACTATACCTGGCAAGGTGTGTTAGACATGTGCCCAAGTCTCATTCTCAGTTGGTCATCGGTAAGATCAGAACTAAACATGTCATCATCACCCATGTAGGCACAAAGAGAGTAGTACCTATAAAATCAAACAAAAGTTGTCTAAAGCTATAAGACCAAAATCCAGTGGTAAGAAAGGATTTACCCAAATGTGAAAGAAGATGATGACAACTTGACCAAAGATAAATCACTTGAAAATACTGAAATAAGTTTGGCAAACAAATGGAAGCATATTATACAGCAAAATTTTCAGATTCTACAGCTTAGAGAGTCCATAAACAGAGCCAAGCATATTTTTCAACTCGACAATGAGAATAGATGTTGCTATCAGTACCTATTTGCAGTAATTGGAGCAGATGGATCTGCTTCTGCAGGCATCAATTCTGAGCCCCGGCCTTCTTTTATCATGCTGGAAGCTAGGTCAATCATAGCAGCTGTTTCGGGAAGAGTTGCTCTATATTCTCGATCACTGACTGGAGCCTGAACATTCCAATATGCATTATGACCAAAGCTGCAAGCAAATGCACAACATGTAGGCAAAAGGAAGAAATAAAATATTGCATTAGGCAATTTACTACTTAAAAACCCCACTTCATAACTAGATATTAAAGGTTAAAAGTTTATATCAGCCCCACAACATATCATAGTCATGCTTCATCCATTACAGTTGCTAACATAATTTATTACCTGGCTCTAGAACATCGATAACACTGTTAAACAAGAACATGTTGTAGATGAAGCTTTGTTAAATAACAATGTTTTTTTAAATTGATAGAGGTTATTGCTATTAATCTGAGATTGGTATCTTGTCATGGTTTTATCTTCTGAACTAAAGATCTTAATTCATCTATTCCTCAATAGAAATGCATAAACAAAGACTGATGACTAAAGATCTTAGTTCATCTACCTCGACAGATATGCATAAACAGAGCTTATCATTATTTTCCTTCCATTTTCATTCACTATAACAAAAGCTAGTTTTCATACTCTCTCTTCAAATTATCACACTTTCCAAGACTTCCCTTACAAGCCAACAGAAAGTCTTTCCCCTTTCCCTCACCCTACTTCCTCTCCAATAAGTATTACGTACGCCTTTAACTGACATAGAACAAGCTAATCGGTTTCCTAACTTATCTGAAGCATCCATCCCATGCATCGAGACTGAAAGGCAAGAAAAGTTAATTTTAACACACATCTACAGTTCAGAGGTTGCAGACAGCTTTACATATCAAGCAAATCAACATAGCAATGGACATAAAGTAATGAGAACTTAAAAATGTTCATAACCCCCCTAAATAGATTGAAAACAAGATTGAACTGAAAGGTAGATACCATAGTAGGTTTACCAATAGCCAGATACTTAAATGGCCTAAAGCTAGATACTTTCATGCTTCCTTTAAGCAAATATCAGTTGCTTAACCAATAATGTAAAATAAATAAAAAAAATAAAAATAAAAAAAAAAAGAGAAAAAAAAAAAGAAAGAAACTAGGTCAAAAGGCCCAGCACTGGTTGTCAGTTAAAATCTAATCATTCAGCAGCAAAGCACAAACTTCAAGCTGTACTTATAAAATGATCAATGGAATAATATGTAAAGATCATGAAACCTTTATCTTGAGTGAAGCAGGGGAAGTAATTCACGATGCTTAGGAATTACCTGTAAAATGGCAGCACGAACTGCTCGAGAGCATGCAGCATTTGTACGCATATAGTGAACGATATCCTGTATTCATATGCAAAGTAAGGGAGCCATAAACATGAAATTCCATGATTAAGTGTTCAAACTAAGTATATATAGCTCTCAAGTTTTAGATACAATCAGCAGTCACCTGACAACCGGTACTATGACCAAGTAGCACTACACCTTCTGAATCTTCTTTGTTAATTAAATGACTCACCAGCTGATCAAGCTCCATAGCATCCTTCAAGATAGATAGAGCAAGAATATCTTGGACTTGTTTATGTTACATTGTAAGATCAGAAGAAAAAGCAAGAAAATACCAAGAACATGGTAAACCACTTTGTCCCTAGATTGAACTTATTCGAGAAGTTATGGTAGAACTGGGAAAACAAGGATGTTAGCAAATTGTTGATTGACTGATGTCATCAAAATTTAATCAAGCCATTGTGACATAGGTAAAGTTACAATATGAAAGCAAGCAAAATCAATGGTTAAAAAGGTAACACATTAGTCACCAAAAATTAGGGCAAGAACAATCTGCATGGTCCTCAACTCACTAAATCCTCCCCTCAATCATGAGTTACATCATGTCTAACCCAAAATGGAAGGATGAGAATGGCAACAATCAACAGGTTGAGTAAATTATCCTCCTTCACTCTTGTCTATTACTTGAATAATGTGCTATTTGGCAATGGTTTGATGAAAAGAAAACTTAAGCAATTTCTATAAATTTATCAACTCAACTTGTGTTATCAGGAGCACATGATATTGCTCTCTCTTTGTGAATCCTCCGCCTTCTATTTTCTTTTCGTTTCCAGGCTTAATAAAGTATCGAAGTGTTCAACATAAATAGATAACATTTGGTTGGAAAAAATATTACTTGTTGCAGGCTGGAGGTTCCATATCCACTATATGAAGATGACATGAGTAGCTGAACAAGTGACCATTTTTCTTTATCCAAAGCAATTGCAAGTGGTTCTAAGTATCTGCAAGAAAGCAAAGAAGGTTATATTATAAACACATTTTAAAGCAAACACAATGAAGATCTGTTAGAAAAAAAACAGTCATTTTCCATTGATGTTCTACATTCTGCAGAGCCCACCTTGCTTTCGGTTTAGCTTATTCCAAAATGTCAATCCAATTCGAAAATTACATACAACTTTCAGACTTCAACATTGGAATCTCTATATGTTTGCTAATGTCCTTTCTTTTAAAAAATTTTTAACAACGCCAGAGTAGTGAGAGAAAAAATTGCCAACACAAGAATACTTAGAGAAAAATACCAACTTTTGAGGAAAGACAGATTCTACAGGATGACAGAGTAAATAATGTGTCTTGAGTCATCTTAAAGAAGCCTGATATCGTATC